CCCCCCCCCCCCCCCGCCCAAGCCACTGCAGCCTCTCTGAAGAGAAATAATTATGGGCCTTAGGGATGGCCCCTCAACTGCCCCTCCCACCTGGACAGGATGCACCTGGCAACATATGAGCAAGAAAAGAAAACCGCTGGGCCTTCATGGGGAGGGCTTGAGTGTGTAGTGTGGCGTGTGACCACAGGCTGCCTGGGGAAGGGAAGGTAGGGTGAGTGAGCTGGCCGCTGGTCCTGGGAGTCTCCAGCCTGTTGATGTTGGGCCCACGCTCCCCATTAGCCAGAGTCTGCTGGCCGCCAAGTTGCTTCAGCTGTTTCCCTCCCAGGCAGGATTCTGAGCTGGTGGAAGTCACGTGGGATCAGGAAGAAGCCCGGGCTCACAATCTCCTAGGCTCAGGTCCCTCCCCTCTTGTGTTGTTCTGTCAGGGTGTCACCAGGGGCTTTGCCCTCCCGAAGCACTGGCATCAAGGCGAACCTAACTTTAGGGGTATGGGGTGAGATGAGAGGGAGCCACGGGTGTCGGCTGGGAAGCTGGGAATCCATGTGGTGGGTGGTAGGAATTGGCCAGCCATCCTGTGAACTTTCTCCTGCTCCTGGATGGTAGAGGAAGCAGAAGTTCCTCGTCTTCTGTATATACTTACATGCTGGGCTCCATCCTAGGGAGCTGGGCAGCTACAGGCTAGGACACTGAGGGGACCCTCATATTGGATCTGGGGAGAGCTGAGGATAATCATGACAGGTCTGGGGACCCAGACCTATAATCATAACTACTAAGGAAGCTGAGGCAGGACAGGATGGCAAGTTGGGCTACAAGGATGGCCTACTCGGGCTACAGAGCAAGTTCAAGGGCAACCTGGGCAAGGAAGTCAGGACTTGTCTCACGGGTTTTTGTTTGTTTATTTTTTGTTTTGTGGGTGTTTGCTTGTTTGAGAATGGGTTTCTTTGTGTAGCCTTGGAGCCTGTCCTGGATGTAGCTGTGTAGTCAAAGATGGCCTTGAACTCACAGAGGTCCGTTGGTCTCTGCCTCCCCCGCACTGGGATTAAAGGCAGGTGCCACCACTGCACCTCTTGTCTCACAGTTTTTCAAGGGCCAGAGTTAGCTTATTGGTAGAAACTTGGTCAGCACACAGGAGGCTCTAAGTTCGCTTCCTAGTTAACAAAAAAAAAAAAAAAATGATGATAGTCAATGCTAAAATGCACAGCAATCTGTCCTCCGTCAAGATCACCACTTACCCTGGACAACGCACCCTTTGTGAGTAGTGTCAAGGCCTGTCCCACGGAGCAGCTAAAGGGGCTGTGTCGGTCAGTCTCCTGAGTATCTTGAAGCACCTGCCATGTGTGTTCTTAAAGGCTAGAGAAACATCAGTGGATGAGGCTGCCAGACCCCTGTTCTTGGGGAACTGGACTGATAGTCGGTGAGCCCAGCAGCAGAAAGGCTAGGCTGCTTGTGGAAGCAGGGTATCAAATGTTCAAGACTCCATAGTGAGTTTGAGGCCAGCCAGGGCTACACGAGAACCTGTCTCAAAACAAAGAAGAAAAACCCCCAGGAGGAGAACAATCTCAGCCAGCTCTGTTCACTGTGACCCTATGAGACAGGCATGGCAGCGATAAAGTGGTCACTTCTTAAGATGGTGACATTTGTAGCCAGGGCTGTTAAACAGAGAAACCCTGTCTGGGGAAAAAAAATGATGGTGACATTTAGCCAGGCAGTGGTAGCTTATACCTTTAATCCCACCCAGCACTCGGGAGATGATCTCTGTGAGTCTAAGGCCATCCTGGCCTACAGAGTAGGTTCCCGGACAGCCAGGGCAACACAGAGAAACCAGGCCTCCAAAAATCAAAGCCAAAAAAAAAAAAAAAAAGTGACATTTGGTTCAAATTGGATTCCAGGGACAGAAAGGTTGGGATTAGCACAATACAGGGTTTCTGACAACTAAGCAGTGCAGACAATGGCAGCTCACAGGGTCGTTTGTGCCTTATCCTATAGCCCAGACAATGGCAGCTCCCAGCTGTCCCTGTCCCAACTGGCTTCCCACTGATACCTCTGTCCCCTGACAGCTCATCTATGATGCTGGTGCCTCCTTTATTGTCATCCTGGTGGTTTGGGCTGGCTGCTCTGGCCTGGTCTTCTTCAACTGTTTCTTCAACTGGCCCCTAGAGCCCTTCCCAGGACCAGAGGACATGGACTACTCGTAAGTCGGCCCGCTTTCTGTCCTACCCTCCTGCCAGCCAGGGTCCCAGCAGCACCAGCAAACTCCCTTCCTGTGGCCTCTAGGGTGAAGATTAAGTTCAGCTGGCTGGGCTTTGACCACAAGATCACAGGGAAGCAGTTCTACAAGCAGGTGACCACAGTGGGGCGCCGCCTGAGCGTGGGCAGCTCCATGAGGAGCGCCAAGGAACAAGCTGCGCTGCAGGAAGGTCACAAGCTGTGCCTGTCCACTGTCGACCTGGAGGTGAAGTGCCAGCCTGAGGCCGCAGGTATCCAGCACCTGACTCCGTGCTCTAGGTTGGCCCAAGAGATCCGTGGGGGCATCCTCATTTACACTGCGGGAGGAGCCCAGGGCCCGCTTGGTTGGGAATCACTGGCTGTGGATCTGTGGGTAACCCCTCACCAAATTCCTGTTCTGTCTCACAACGGGCAGAGGCACCACCTGTCCTGTTTTACACACACACACACAACCAGAGCTCAGGGAATCATCAACACCATGAGCCTCGCCATGGGCTTTGCCACCCTCACCTCCCACACAGTCAGCACGTTGGGCCTTCTTCCCTTCCCCAGGCTCTGGATGCTGGATGGGCCATGTTTCCTGGCCTGAGCCCCATGCCTTCTTCCCACAGCTGCCCCCTCGTTCATGCACAGTGTGTTCAGCCCCATCCTGCTGCTCAGCCTGGTCACCATGTGTGTCACACAGCTGCGGCTCATCTTCTACATGGGAGCCATGAACAGCATCCTTGAGTTCTTAGTCAGCGGTGACCAGAAGACAGGTAAGTGTCGTCCAGGCCTTGATGCGCATCCTCAGGGTAGGGCTATGCTCCTCACTCTCACCAACCAAGTGAAGCCCCAGCAGCCCAGCAGCCCCACCAGCAGGAGGTATTCTGTTGCGCTAGATCAGTCGGGCTGGGAAATCGCAGAGTCTGAGGCCCCGTCTGCTTGTCAGGGCTGTCTTCTTGCAGCCAGCCTGACTGTTCTTTCATGTCCCCATCAGGGTTTCCCCAGCTAAGGAGGGAGAGAACCGAAAAAGCTCCCTGTTTAGGGTGTGGGGTGTCTGTTTCCAGTGCCAGTGGGGAGGGCTCGGGGCTGTGTCTGTACTGAAAACACTGCCCAGAGGAGAAGACAGCAGCCTGCCCCACCCAGTCACATCCCGATCTGAAAGGACTGGCTTGGCACGTGAACAACCCAGGGGCTGAGGGAAGGACCTTTGTCCTGGCAGAGGACTCTGGGTCAGTGGGGGCCCATTCTAGGATCGGTGTCCCGCCCTGGGAACCAGGGAAAACAGCGGCTTCCCAGGAAGGAGTAGTCCAGCTGAGGCTTGTTCTCTCTGGAGGCAGAGCCGATAACCCACAGGAAGGCCCCGGCAGGTCTTCAGCTGACTAGGGGCTTTGCTTCACAGAGAAAGTCAGTACTTCCCCAGGGCCTGGATGACTCAGCCGCAGTCATCCTGAGCAAGCAGGACAAACACATTCGGCAAATCCTTCTTGCTGGCATTCTCACCAGCCTGCCACTTTCTTTTGTTGGCTAACTTGTTTTCACCGAGGGAAAGATAACGCATGCCTTGCAAGGAGCCAAATACCAGTTTTCCACAGGGACAGGAAGGCCTGCTTTCGCAGAGGGAAAAGCTCCAGGCACCTCCTGGATCCTCAGGAGGGAGAGAAAAGGGAAAGACACTGGATATAATGAGCAAAAAAATCATGATGGGGCGCAGTAATGGCCTCAGGGTCCTTATGGGAGAAAAAGACTTTCGGCTTTGCTTAGTTCAGTGGTAATTTCCTAACTTTATACCTTTGGTACCTGTTTTGTTTCGTTTTAAGATACGGGGTCTTGAATTGAAACGTGGCTCCCTTGACAGTGCTTTCTTAGCGTGAAGCCCATGGTTCTCCCAGTACCACATAAACGAGTGTGGTGGTAAACGCCTGTAATCAGCACTCCAAAGGTAGCAGCAGTAAGATCAGATGTTCAAAGTCATCTGAGGTTACAGAGCAAGTTGGAGGCCTGCCTGGGTTAACCAGCATGTATCTGGGTGGGTCTTGCTTGCTGCTTCGCCTAGGCTCTCTAGCCACCCTCCGACTTCAGGCTCCTGTAGCTGTAACTACCACACTGTGGGCCACCCTATGTGGTAAAAGACTTTTGTTTTTCTGAGATGTGGTAGCCTAGGCTGGCATGGAACTTTCTTGGTAGACCAGGTTGGCCTCACTGTAGGGGATTCTCCTGTCTCAGCCAAGCATGTGGTTTGCCATCACATCAGCTTAGCCTTCTGGTATTTCTCTTAGGCCTTTGGGTGGGACCGGTCGAGCAGGTGTCATGTGGCCCTCTGAGCACAGTTTTGAGGAGTTGGTCCTCTCCGTCCTCCGTGGGAGATGGGCTCGGTGTGAGGCTTGCATGGCAAGCACCTTAGCTGTTAAGACATCTCACTGGCCCTAATTTTCTTCCTTTCCATTCTGCTGGACATGGTGGCACAGCCCTTTAATCCCAGCATTTGAGAGCAGAGGCAGGTAGATATCTGAGTTCAAAGTCAGCTTGAGAACCCGAAGTACAGTGAGTTCCAGACCAGCCAGATCTAACTATGAGACCTTGACTTCAAAACAAAAAAAAAAGTCCCAGGAGGCAGAGGCAGGTGGATCACTGCCTTCTAGGACAGCCAAGGATACTTGGGCAAACCATGTCTAGAAAAACACAAAGATGGACGTCCTGATTCACTACCATAATCTCAGGTACTGGGCAGGCGAGGCAGGAAGACTGATTTTGAGGTTGGTCTGGCTTTACAGTGAGACCTTACCAAAAAGAAAAAAGAACAAAAGGTCAGCTTCAGGAAATAGAGGGACTCGGGAGAGGAGGTCTGAGCATGGTAGACGGGAGCTTTGTTCCCCCAGTCTCTGGCACCACATCCACAGGCCTGGCTCTGCTCAGAAGGGCGGCCTTGGGGTCGGGGAGCCAGTGAGGGAGAAGCCTGGCTGTCTAGGGAGAACGCTGGTGTCAGATGACCGTGACTGGCAAGGCTCCTTTGACCTTTCCTGCAGCGGCAGCGACAGAGCAGCATTCCCACAGGGCCACATGGTCAGACTCTGACTCTGCCAGGGCCTTCAGCACACCACTTCCCCGTCGTGGTGCCTGGCCAGGGCCACAGGCTGACTCACCAGCTGCCAGGAGGATGTCAGCTGGGCCTGGCTCCCTCACACCCAGCTCTGGAGCTGGAGTGGGCAAGGCCTTCATGGGCTGCTCTGGGGTCTCCTGGGAAGTGGAGTGTGTGGTGGGCCCGCCTCCTGTCTTTTTGTACTTCTACCTGTGACCTCTTCTTTCTGCTTTTCCACCTTTGCTCTCGCGATGAAGTGATGGCAACTGGTAAGCAGGGGGTTGTCAGGGGACCTTGCGACACTTCTCCCAGCTACTCTCTGTTCAGAGACTTCTCGCCTCAAATTTCAAACATCCCTCTTGACGAAACGGGTGGGGTGGGGGTGGAACATTTCGCGGTCAACTATTTTTTTGTCCCTCACTCCCTACAATTTTAAGTCTCTGTGAAGATGGGAAGCCCTGACGTCAGAGTCCCCGTGAATGGTGCCTTCCTGGTTTATTCTGGGGACAGAAAGGATGATCAGTCACATATAAAGCCCGGTCATGGGCATTGGTGATTTTGTGGTTTCCAAGTCAGAGTGACTTCCCGAAAGCTTGGTGTTGGGGAGGAATTTGTCATTGTGACATGCTGGGTTTCATTAGTTGTTACAGGGGAAACAGTAGAGGTTTGGAGCAGAAAAGTTGGCCACTGTTCTAGCTTCAATTTCAGAAGTTACAGTCCGTAGGTTCCCTTCAACCCACACTGACCAGGGGCTCCAAGGCAGACCTCTGAGAGCCTGGAGTGCCCATGACATGCCGTCTTTCTTCCCAGTTGCCCTCTATACATCCATCTTTGGTGCTCTCCAGCTGCTTTGCCTGCTGACAGCCCCTGTCATTGGCTACATCATGGACTGGAAGCTAAAGGAGTGTGAAGATACTTCTGAAGAGCCTGAGGAGAAAGACACCACTCAGTATGTAGGCCACAGCCCACTCTCGGCCCCCAGAGAAGGGCAGCGGGGCCATATTGCATGTTAGGAGGGGCGAGGGGTGCACTCGGGGCCCTGGCGTTCCCACCCTATGGAAATTCCCTGATGGGATGAAATGGGAGCCACTGAGGCAGATGAGAGCCGAGGGAAATCCAGGACCCTAGGTTTGGCATGAGCCACTGGCACGAACCGCACAAGGGGGCTACTATTTTAAAGCCACTTGCTGCTGGGGTTCATTGCTCTTACTTGAATTGTAAGCTACTCCAACCAAGTATGCTAATGATGTGCGGATTCTGAAGATTCAGCAAGGCTCGGGAGCCCTGCTTTATGGAAGGGCTGGGCTCTAAGATCAGAGGATGAGTTAAACGCTGTCTTCTACACTCCCATCACGTGATAGGCTGTTATTTATTGTATCAGGCACAATGCCAAGCACTGAACACACAGTGTCTCACTTCAGCTTCAGTACCATGATGCAACGTGTGTTAGTTAGTGTTGTACCCATTTTAGAGATGAGGGGACCGGGGAATAAGTGTCCACGTCTTCTTACAGAGGTGGTTAGTTAGGAAGTGGGGGGCCTGGGAATTGCTGCCCTCCTTTGCGCATTTGCCATCCGTTCTTGTGATTATCCTTGGGGTTTCGGTGTGGGTGGCGTGGCTGGAATCAGTAATAGTTAATCCACAAGGAAATAATTACAGAGGCTCTCTGTTATCTAGGTTAGGCCCCAGAGCCAAAGGGCTGTTTGCCATCCTGGTTCCATCTGCTGTGTATTTGCTTCCCCTCACCCCATCCTGCCCCCCAAGGGGAAACCAACTCACTCCCTTATTTGGCTTATTATCTGGCTTATTACCAGCTTCCTGCACGATACAGGTGCAGTGAGCCTTTGCTGCACCCTTGCTGGGGCACACTCTACTCCTCCCCCTCCCCGCCATCAGCTGAGCTCCCTGAGCAGGGGCACGGGGTGACGCTCTTCGTGATGCTCTTCTCTTCTTGGCTGAATCAGTCTCTGCTCAACTGAGAGCGCCCCCACTTCTGACCTAAGATGAGGCTGAGGTGTGGAACTTGCATTAGCCCACATCCTGGGATCCCCGAGACCTGACCTTCTGGGGAGGGTCCGCCTTTCTCCAGGGAACCTCACCCCCACCCCAAGTCCTGTGTGCTCTTTCTCCACAGAGGTGAAAAGAAGCAGAAACGAGACAGGCAGGTCCAGAAAATCACTAACGCCATGCGGGCCTTCGCCTTTACAAACGTGCTGCTGGTGGGCTTTGGGGTGACCTGCCTCATTCCTAGTTTGCCTCTACAGGTAGGTCTGAGGGATGGCACACAGACGGGGGATATTTAGAGGCTAAAATATGCACGTGACTTAATTAATTCAGTTTGGCCAGCGGTTAGTGTTTGCTGGCGGTACTCCCAGCAAACTGACTGAAGAGGAGGGACTCCTCTCCAAGAAGGCACACCTGTCCTTAGGCACCTTACCTGCCATGCCATGGGCAGCACCATCGTCTGTTTCCTGGAACTGTGTGGTTTTGTATTTTCTCAAACACTTGAAATTTGATGTCTAAAGAGGTTTGACCAATGCCGAGGGTGGTGGCATTGTAATCCCAGCCGTCTTAGTGGCAGAGACAACAATGTCCACGTGACTGTTATCCTAGAGAGAGTGACTGAGCCTGGCTGGGCGTAAGGATTCAAAGATTTACTTCCTTTGTACAAGATTTCTTTTGTCTTTTGAGACAGAGTCTTTCTGTGTAGCCTAGGCTGGCCTCAGACTCGATTCTCGTGCCTTCACCCTTCCAGTGCTGGGATCATAAGAACACACCACCACTTTTTGCCTTGCACAAGAAGTCTGAGTGTTCTGAAGCCTGACTTGCTAGCATTTGTAAGCCAAGTAGACTTTGTACCTACCTGGTCCCACCCTTTGGTCTGTGAAGACGTTCTAGGAGTCCATTTGGGCCCAGGTCCCACGTTTACAAGGTTGGGGGATGCACCTGATTGCTTCCCAGTGGGTGTAGCCCAAGTGCAGATATGTCTCATGCCAACTCTGGGAGGAAATGAAGAGGCTCTTTGTTTGCAAGGTGCCAGGTGTTGTTGAGCTACGTTGAGCACACAGGTGAGCACACCCACAGGTGCTGCCACACATACATGCTGGCACTGGGTGTGCAGACCAGAGTAAGCCGTGGGAGACTTGCACCAGTTCCGGGGGGAGGGGTAGACTCTGGCAGACCCCTGTCATGACCATCTTGTTCAGTCGAGGGACAATGCTCAGTTGCAGACAGTCATCTGCCTTTTGTTTCATTTGGTTCTCCTGGAAGGCCAGCTGTGAAAAGGCAGCAATGCAGGTGAAGGAAGAGACAGGGCTGTGTAAATTCACAGCTGCATAACCTTTCAAGTCTGCCAGGAGTAGTCCTGACCCTCCACCGCCCACAGTCCTGGGAGCAGGGCCTAGCTGCTAATGCAGGATGTCAGGGATGTATATGAAAGAAACAAAGGAGCGACACGGGGCTCTTTGGCGGCGGGCTAGTGCCTCTCAGGGGTCATTGACTAACAAGGCCTTCTCAGAGTTAGCTAGCAGGAAGAGGCCTTTTAAAACCTTTTGATAGAGGGCCTGGAGAGATGGCTCAGAGGTTAAGAACACTGACTGTTCTTCCAAAGGTCCTGAAGTCAATTCCCAGCAACTTCATGATGGTTCACGCCCATGTGTAATGGGATCTGGTGCCCAGAACAGTGTATACATAATAAATAAATAAATATTTAAAAAAAAAAACCACAAACCTGTGATAGAGATTTGCAAGGCAGATAAAGACAGCCATTAGGGCCAGTAGGGCCTGGATCACCAGGCAGGGAGACCTCTGGGAAAATTCTCACGTAAATGTAGATTCTTGGGGTTGAGTAAGGGGACCATAAGCCTTCATGCATTTGCCTGCAGTGCCCTTTATGGGAATACTCTCATTGTGGCTGGCAATGTACAATATATGGAAGATGCCTTCAGAATAACAGTAGTAATTCTGGTGAAGGAATTAGGGATTGATAAGCTTTGATCATTCATTGCCTTTGTTTTAAGACCATCAATTTAGTTTCTTATTTTGACATAGGGTTTCTCTGATTAATAGTCCTGGCTGTCCTGGAACTCTCTTTATAGACCAGGCTGGCCTCAAACTCACAGAGATCCGCCTGCCTCTGCCTCTCGAGTGCTGGGATTAAAGGTGTGTGCCACCATGCCTGGCTATTTTTCTCTTATTTTTTCTTTCTTTTTTTTAATTTTTTTAAAAAATGTTATTGGTATTCTGCCTGCATATATGTCTGTGTGAGGGTGTTGGATGCCCTAGAGGTGGAGTTACAAACAGATATGAGCTGCCATGTGGGTGCTGGGAATTGAACCTGGGTCCTCTGGAAGAACAGTCAGTGTTCTTAGTTGCTGAGCCATCTCTCCAACCCCACCTCTAGTTTCTTAGTTGTAAGTTTATATAATTTAATTTCTCACAATGACTGTTTAGCAGCTGGCTACAAAATTTATGCAAGGGCTGGAGAGATGGCTCAGTGGTTAGGAGCACTGGCTGCTCTTCCAAAGGTCCTGAGTTCAATTCCCAGCAACCACATGGTGGCTCAAAATTTATGCAAGGGTCATCAAGGTGGCTTAGCCGTGAAAGACTCCTCCTGCCAAGCCCCGTGACTTTGACCCTAGGACCCACATAGCAGGAGAACCAACTGAAAGTTGTCCTCTGACCTCCACACACATCGTGACACTTGCACACACGAAATAAATGAATGTAATTTTTTAAACAACAAAAGTTTAAAATTTCTCATTTTGTGTGTATAGGTGTGTTGCCTACACGTGTAATCCTGTGTACCAAGTGTGCGCCTGGTGCCGAGAGTGGCCGGAAGGCATCATGTCCCCTGGAACTTGAGTTGCAGAGAGTTGTGAGCCTCTGCGTGGGTGCTGGGAATTGAAGCAGGTCCTCTGGAAGAGCAGGCAGTGTTCTTGACGACTAAGTCATCTCTCTAATCCCAATGTAATTTTTAAAATTACAAAAATGAGGACCTGAAGAGATGGTTCACTGGTTAAGAGCAGTGGGTAAGCTTGTGCAAGGACCTGGGTTTGGTTCACAACTGTCTGTGACTCCAGTTTCAAGGGATCTGTTACCTTCTTCTGGACTCTGGCACCAGGTACACACATAGTGTGTGCACGTATATGCAGGCTAAACACTGATACACATAAAAAAATTAAGTATACATGCATACATATATACACATAAAATATTTGATTTTATTTATATAGGGAGGGGCAGGCCTGTGATTGCCAGGCTGTGAGTGTTAATTTTTTTTTAAGTATTACAAAAAAGTGTTATCAAAGGCCAGGCATAGTGATGCATGACTTTAATCCAGCATTGTGGAGGCAGTGGCAAGCATATTTTTGTTAGTTCGAGGCCAGCCTGGTCTATATGGAGAGGCCTAAGACAGCCAGGGATATGAGACCTTGTCTTCAAAACAAAACCAGGAAAAAAAAAAGAAAGAAAGAAAGAAAAGAGAAAAGAAAAGAAAAAAAAAGCACTCTGCTCTAGAGAGCTGGTAGCAGCCAACCCAGATGGCCCTGGTTCCTGTGCCTGAGTCCCCAGGAGCCAGAGGGAAGGACAGAGGGTCCCTAGGGGTCTCCTGCTCATGTTCTTCTCCCTCCTTCCCTCCCTCAGATCTTCTCCTTCGTCCTGCACACAATTGTGCGAGGATTCATCCACTCTGCAGTAGGGGGCCTATATGCTGCTGTGTAAGTCCTGGAACCTCTGGGTGGTGTGGTGGCCCTGACCCAAGGGAACTGCTGCCGCCATGGAGACCCTGAAACTGGCCTGTCCTCCCCTTCTGGCATGTTTCATCTTGTATCAGGGGACAAGTACTAGGGTTTCTGCTGTCCTGTCAGTAAAGACCACCATACCTACTGACAGTAGGTGGGTCAGTAGGCAGCAGTTGGGTAACCACAAGCCATGGCATTTAACACTAAGTCAGTCTCTCAGCTGGGGTCAGGGCCCCAGGGCTGGCTGTTCAGCTGAGTGCTGGCACTGTCCCTGGCTGCCCACTGGGGCAGGGTTGGGTTCTGGCTGCCTGAAGCTAAATACTGAAGCGTAAATAGTCCTCAGTAGGGGCAGCAATATGGATAACTGGTCTCAGAAGAACTGGGCTGGCCTCACCCAGGGCCTGAAGGACCTATTTGCTGGCCACAATCTCCTTGAACCCTGCCTACAGTGACACCTACATCTTTTCCAAGAAGCTAGATAGCTGTTCCTCCTCCTTCTGCCCAGGGCTTGGCCCACGAATTTAAACCCGAGTTCTATCATCCACCGTCTGTGACCATGCAAGCAGCTTGTTCTTGACCAGGGCTCCCTCGTATCTCAGGGACAATGGAGCCTAATGTTCCCCAATATTAAGCCGAGGACTCCTTCCCTCTTTGAGTAGCATCTTACAGGGGTTATTCCAGGTCTGCCTGTCCCCCGCCTTGTCTGCCCCCCCACCCAGGCTTGGAGGAAGTTGTGGCTGCCCTGGCAGGGTGTGAGGGAGTCGGGCAAGAGTGGTGATGCTGAGTTTCCGTTATTGCGCAATGTTCTTGGAGGGGGGTACAGCAGAGCCAGGCTCAGCCTCCAACCTGCTTCCTGGGATCATTTCCCAAGCCGCAGACTCTGCTGGCACCACGCTTTCCACTCTGCTCAGCCCTACACCCCCTTGCTGAGGGCACATCTGAGGATGGGGTATGGGAGAGGTGGGAGAGGCTTTCTTTAGAGTCTGAAGTTCAGGGGCCTGCACCCAACTATCGTGAGGCTGGTCTTGCCTCTTCTCACAGGCACCCCAGTTACCAGCATACCTGAACCAAGCCAATGAGAGATTTGGGGAGCCTGTGAAGGTGCCGTCTGTGACAGGTCTCGTTGCCCCAACAGGTACCCGTCCACGCAGTTCGGTAGCCTCACGGGACTGCAGTCTCTAGTCAGCGCGCTCTTTGCCCTCCTGCATCAGCCGTTGTTTCTGGCCATGATGGGTCCTCTTGGAGGAGATCCTCTGTGGGTAAGGAGTAGGGGTGTCTCCCCTTCTGCTCCTGGGAAAGTAGGGCCCTAGGACAAGCGGCAGTGTGGGAACTTTGGACAGGCAGGAGAAAAATGGCCTCTCTGGACCTGATTCTGGGGTGCATCCTTGGCTTTCCCCCCCAAAGACCAGCATACTAATCCAGATATTGTGAGTTGTCCCAACCCCAGCCCAATCCCCGAAGGCTGTTGAGTGGCCCGTGGAGGACTGGGGGATTTAGATGCTGGAATGTGGGTTGACAGCCCTGGAACCTCTCCCAGCCTAGCGTTTAATTTTCACCCTTTCCTCACCTGTGCGTGTGGGAGGGCGCTCCCCTGTGGTGAATACAGCTCCTTACCCCAGCCCACTCCCCACTCTCCCAGGTGAACGTGGGTCTACTTGCCGTGAGCATGCTAGGCTTCTGCCTGCCCCTTTACCTGATTTGCTACCGGCGCCAGCTGGAGAGGCAGCTTCAACAGAAGCGGGAAGACAGCAAGCTGTTCCTTAAGGTCAATGGCTCAAACAACCGGGAAGCTTTCGTGTAGTGCCCATCACGTCAGCCATGGTCGACTGCCTGTACTTCAGTGACTGACCGCTGTCATCTCCCCGCCCCAGAGGATCCCATGTGCTCCCTGGATCCTGCCCTTCACCATGCCGGAGCCCCATACTTCCTCACAAAGCCCTGGCCCTGCTGTGGAGTGCTGGTGTGGAAGGACGGGAGAGGGTCCAGACAAATGAACCTCCCACTGCCAGAAACTGGGCTGGCCTGGCCTAGCTGTCACCCCAGGAGCTCTGGGGTCTTGGATCTCCATGGGGCCTGTACCTGGAGCCAAGGAGAGCCCCCAGTAAGCAGGCTCTCCCTCACTGATATGGATTCTGCCTCTTGCCAAAGCAGAGGGGTCTACCATCCTCTACCCACACTACCTGTCCCTGAGCTGCATGCCCACCAGCCACGCCTACCTGAGGACAAAGGCTTGCACTGTCTGCACTCCCCTGGCCTGGCCTTTTACCTCCCCTGACCAGTCTGTGGCTGCCTGAGGAAGGAAGGACCCGCTTCCTGTTGTTGGTGCTAACCCCTTTGTAATCCCAATGCTCCCCCACCCTCTACCCCCCCCCCCCAGTGGCTAGTCCCTGGCCTGTCTTTTTCTTGAAGGCCTATGGAGATACCCCACCCCCACCCCCCGCGCCCTGCCTCAGTTTGGGGAAGGGATGAAGGACCGAATAGTTAACAAAGCCTCAGGAATCCTGGGCAAGGCTTATTCCTTACACTGGGGAATACATTTCTACTGCTGCCCTTGTTCCAGCCTGCAACCTGAAGGGAGCTAAGGGGACATCACAAGGGAAGGTCACCCTTCCACCCACACACAGCTGTTTTTCTGGGGTGGAAATAAGGCAGTGACTGACAGACATGGAGAGCCAGGCCTAGCAAGTAACAGGGGTGTGTGTTTGTGTGTGGGTGTGGGTGTGTGTACATGTGCATATGTGGTAGAGGGCACCCCCAGGGGCTGCTTTTATGAGAGTGGACCAGACCAGAAGCCAGCCAGGCTGGCAGCAGGCTCAAGATGGGAGAATCAACCTTGCTTTAGGATGGGGACCTTGTATGTGGCCGTGTGGTCACAGTGCCCCCTGCTGGCAGACTCTTAACAGGGCACTGGAGCTGTTTGTGTGGGGAAAGCCTAGCTGGCCTGCCTGGCTCAATAACCCAATTACCTTGACAGCCCCTAGAGACCCTGTCTGAGACTTCTTGGGGTGCCAAGAAGGGTGAATTAGTTTTTTTTAAAGTCTCTTGTCTTCTTTTAAGTTGCATCAGAATTCTTATGAAGCAATAAATCCATTTTCCTGTTGGTAACGGAGGTCACGTATCAAGTGACTACTATATGTGCCCGATTTAAAATTGAGAGGGGAAGGCAGGACAAGAGGGTCTGCCAGTGAGAATAATAAAGTCATGAGGCAGTGGCACATGCTTTAATCCCAGCACTTGGAGAGCTGAAGCAGGCAGTTTGAGGCCAGCCTGGTCTACATGGAAAGTTAGGGGCTGCATGGTGAGACTCTACAGATATTCTGCTAGCTACAAACCCAGTTGCACCCGGGTGCTCTGTCCTGAGTGATGTGTCCAGAGAGGGGCACGGGCAAAGAAAAGCCCTGATTACCCCATACTCCGGGCAAACAGGGCTGTGGAGAAGTGTGGGCTCTCCCCTCTGCTGTTGGTTCTAACAGGGCAGGCCAACCCAGCAGCCTTAGTCGCTACTGTTTTCTGTCAACTCATAACCCCAAGGGTTCTTATGTGGTAACTTCAGGAGAGCCATAGACTAAATTGCTTCAGGGTGGACTGAGGGCAGTCACAGACGAGACAACACCAGGCCGAGTCTGGGGCTCTGTAGCAAGAGTGGACTGAAGTCTTGGCTCCAGTCCATTCAAACATTAAAGTCATTACCCCCACAACAGTGAGCTGCTGGGAGCCCTTCTGTGGGTTCTCGTGGTTCGGTGGTAGAGCTCACTCTTCGTATTGACAAGGCCTTAGGTTCTGTTTCTCAAAAGAACGGGATCAGCATTTTCCAGAAACACCTCCCAGAGCACTGCTTTGTGACACCTCACTGGTTGTCTTTTGGAAAGCGTCTAGTCAGAGGTCGAGTGTGCAGAGTTGGGGTGCCCACAGCATCTCCCCTGTGTTTATGGACATTGCAGCTGTCTAAGAAGGGGTTGTAGCATCTGTGGGGTGGCAAGTCTGTGAGTTGGAGGCCAGTCGGCTAGTCAGGACTACACAATGAGACCCTGTCTTTTTGTTTTGTTTTTTTTTGTTTTTCGAGACAGGGTTTCTCTGTAGTTTTGGAGCCTGTCCTGGAACTAGCTCTTGTAGATCAGGCTGGCCTCGAACTCACAGCAATCCGCCTGCCTCTGCCACCCAAGTGCTGGGATTAAAGGCGTGCGCCACCACTGCCTGGCGAGATCCTGTCTTTAAAAAAAAAAGTTTTTTATTTTAAAAAACGAAACCGCACAGTGTTTACAAGGATGTGAGGAAAACTAATTTTTACACATTGCTCTTGGAATGGTATGGCTATGGAAATGTGATACAGGCCTATAATGCCAGGATCAGGAGGCAAAGGGTGACATGTTTCAGCCTGAGCTGTAACCGTGCTTCACACACAAGGTGACATGCAGCTCAGTGGTGGATGACTAATCAATCAATCATAGGAGCCATGCCCTTCCTGCGGGTGTGACACAGCGGTCACTCGCAGAAGGTCCTGGAATGTTAGGATTGTAGGCTCCAGGGCAGGGTGAGGATGTAGCTCAATTGGTAGCATGTTTGCCTAGCTTACACAGAAGTCCTGGGCTTCATGCCCAGCCCCAAATAAAACTGGGCATGGTGGCACATGCCTCTTATCCCAGTGAATGGGAGGTGGTGACATCAGGATCAGGAGTCGAAGTTATCTTTGGTCACATAGTAAGTTCGAAGCCAGCCTGGGGTTCAGTAGATCCCATCTTCTAAAAAACAAAACAGCTGGATGGTGGTGTCGCACGCCTTTAATCCCAGCACTCAGGAGGTTGAGGCAGGTGGATCTCTGAGTTTGAGACCAGCCTGGTCTACAAAGTGAGTTCCAGGACATGCTCCAAAGCTACACAGAGAAGCCTGCCTCAATAAATAAATAAATAAATAAATAAGCTGGGAGGTGGTGGCGCATACCTTTAATCCCAGCAATCAAGAGGTAGAGGCAGGCAGACCTTTGTGAGTTAAGGCCAGCCTGATCTACATAGTTCCAGGACAGCCTGCTTTACAGAGTGAGCTTCAGGACAGCCAAGGCTGCACACAGAAACCTTTTTTAGGACGGAAAAAAAAAAAAAAAAAAAAAAACTGTTGGCTGCGGGCCTCACTTGTGTCTTGGTTTGGTTCTGGTACCTCCCAGAGGTTCGGATGCACAAGGAAGGAGGACATTAGCTTGAGAGAATGCTGACTGACAAAGCCTTCCCTGCTAGGGACATGCTGAGGTTGCTTAGACATGACCTGTGCTGTCCCCAACAACACTGAAGGGCCACACCTTTTGAGCATGACAATTTGAGGGAATATCCTAGGATCTAGAAACTAGACATTTGGATGGAAAAGAGCCCAGATTCAACGTTGCTTGAGGATCAGAGGTGTCAGCCGGCAGCAGGGAACAGAGGTGTGGCAAACCAGATGAGCTGGGAACTCCCTGGTCAATGGCCATTCTGCCCTGACTTGGCACAAAGTCAACGTTTTCCTAGTGTCTTTGAATCATGGTAGCAGCCTGTAGTGGAGCAGACACTTAGAGAAACAGTCCCAGAGAGGAAGAGTAACTGGCTCACAGTGTAACAGCGAAAACTCTCACGTGGGTATCAGTTGCTAAAGCAGCCAAGGCCCTCTAGGCCGGAAGCAACAGCCCAAGGGTTGCCAGGCTTCCAATAGAGCAGCAAAACCCAAGGGAGGTGGGGCGCAAGCTCAGGATGGTCTCCGTGTGCTGGGGTCAAAACTTTCTCAGATATGGGGCAAGCTGTTTGCACAAGGGTCCTTTGGATCATGGAGGCTGATGGGTACTTGGAGGAATAATTCCCTGATCACTTCACCCTCAAGAGAGGTACCCTGAGATAGGGACAGAACCACAGGCTAGACATAGGCAGAGGCCTCTTCATCTCTTCCCTTGTCCTGCAAGCTCTGGGGGTGGAAGGAGCAGGAAGTGACACCTGGCCTTGTGGTTTCATTTGGTGAGGACAGAGCCAGTCTTGCTCTTCTGGAAGCCCTTACTTTGTGGTCTAGGCACTCCCTTGTCAAGAATAGTTTCCCCTGGGCCTGTGCTCTCCTCTCTCGCTGCTAGGGCCTATTCACAGCTGCCTCCAACCTTAAGGTCAAAGACAAGGCCCTTGGGGGCTGCTTTCCGTGTTTTGTACCCCATGCCTACCTCCAGAAGTCCTGGTCAAAATTTGTACATAGCCAGGCAGGCAATAGTAATATATACCTTTAACCCCAGCACTTGGGAGGCAGAGGCAGGCAGATCTCTGAGTTCAAGGTTAGTCTGGTCTACAAAACGAGTTCCAGGACAGCCAGGACTACACAGAGAAACCCTGTCTCGAAAAACCGAAGAGACATGGTCTTGTACATCTTGTACATCCTAGGCTGTCTAAGGGACTGGCCTAGGCCCCATGTGCACTGATAATGGGCCAAGGGACACATACCCAGTATTGCATTCGTGTGGAAAGAACTATCCCAGACGGCAGCACAAACACCTTCAGCTAAGTAGAGTCGTGGGAGTCTCTTTGTTTTGCTTTGATGCAGGATCCCACTTGTCTCAAGCTGGCTTTGTCCTGGCCATCTTCCTGCCTCAGCCTCCTGAGTGCTTGGGATTGTAGGTGTACCCTGTGTACCCTGGTGTGCCCTGCTCAGTGAGATGATCTGTTGTACTTTCCTGTCAGCCTGTGTGAACCTAGGCGGATGACGGGGACAAGCTTATGCCAGCCTGTGGTTAGGTATGCTACTCAGAGCTCTGCAGCTGTCCCCACAGAGCCAGGCTATGAAGGGCACTAAGATAGGTTCCCAGGGCTTTGAGGCAGTGAGGTTCCTTATCAGTACAAGTTACCAGGGCCCAACCTAAGTGCACTGACTACTGCTCTTACACACAGACCAATGCCCGTGAGGATAAAAGTCCCCGAGTAGTTCAGGGGGACTGGCTTATCCTTGGGCTGTACCCTTCCTGGGTCACGGTGAGACTGTATCCCATGCTCTAACTCATCCTGAGTCCTAGGGTGTGGTCAGAGTCTCCTGAGTGTTCAGGAGTCAGTATCCTCTGAGGAAGACATCGTGGCCCTGCCAGCACAGCCACCATCTGTGCTCCTTGGTCCCTGCAGTGAGTCATTCTTACATGGACAGATCCAAGACAGGACCAGGGGTCACTTCTTAACCTTGAGTGTTCTCCGAGGGAAGCTCAGAGGTTAGCAGCCACACGTCATTTTCAGGGAAAGCTCAGGTGTCCCTTCCTCCAGTGAAAGGGATGCATCTGTCTCCTCACAGATTGGCTCAGGGGACCTGTTGCTAAATCCCATGAGCACAGTGTGTAGCATGATACCGAAACTCAACTTTGAGGGACCCTATCCCTCCTATGACAGGACACTGGTAAAGTCAGTACCACTGATCTCGGTCCCCTCAGGACGTGTCCTACAATGGAGTTTTAAGTTCTCCCCTTCCCCACTTTTCCATTTTGTCTTTCACACTTTGGTAAGAGGCTTGGCCAAAGAGTTTTGGGGTCAAAGTCCCAGCCCTGGAGTGGCCCTTCCATACCAGCTTTGTGAATGACTTCTTGGCTGGGCCGTGTGTGTGTGTGTGTGTGTGTGTGTGTGTGTGTGTGTGTGTGCGCGCGCGTGCCTGTGTGCTGGCCTGAGATGTTGTGGTGTCCCTGTGTCAAGAGAGATGTGTTGGGGTGTCTGTGTGCTGTAACACCTGCGTGTGTGTGTGTGTGTGTTCTGAGGTGTTCTGGTGTGTCTGAGTACATGTGTAGGGGTGCCTGTGTGCTGTAACACCTGGAGGCAGAGGAAGGAAAGAAAGGCCCATTGCGCCCCTTTCTGTTACTAGGAGCATCTAGGCAGGTCAGAATCCAGGCCGGGATGTGAGGCCTGAAGGTGTGTTCTTCCATTCACCAGGGTCACAGAGTGTCACTGATACCTCAGCAGCTGACCTTGGCTCTTCCCTGGCTCTTTACTCTTCCTAGCCCTCAACATCCTCCTTGGCACACAGTAAGCACTTAATAAATGTATGCTGAGATGACTGAGGATTCCTGTGGCTCCCATGTCTCTCCCTGCTGGGATGGCACCACCCTTGCTCAGACTCCCTACCGGTAGCTTGTGAGGGAGGGGCCCCGAAGTCCAGGAGAGGGGGCAGTCAGAGGGATGGGTGGGCAGAGATGCTAGGAGGTGAGGCTGCAAACTTGGAAGCCCGGCTGTGCCCCCTGCCCCTGCTTTGTGTTGTCATCACCCCCACCCCCACCCCGCTCTGGATGGAGGCAGCAGGGACGTCTCTTTCTCCAGGATAAGCAGAGCCACAGCATAAGCTCTGTGGCCAGGCAGGAGCAGCTTGATTTTGACCTCGACCTTAAGGAGGAACCAAGACGTGGAGACTGTCCCCCACATAGAGAGACAACCAGTTCCTGTCAGGTGGAGATGCGCCCCATGGGGCCAGATCTTCTGATATTTTTTTCCCCCTGAGAAGCTAGGAATCTCGAGTTTTACATAAAATATCGTCCTTTTCAAATGTTAGCTCAAAATGAGTTTTTAAAGAAAAATATCACAGCTGCTCGGCTCTGTTTTAACCCTGTAGCAGCCAGGGAAAGGAGAGGGCGTGGTGAAGGGTCCCCCCTGCCTCATGGGACACCGAGTCTCCTTCCTGCCCGTCCTACAAGGCTCAGCACAGACGCTGCCTCCCTCCAGCACAAGGGTTGGTTTGTTTGTCTTATTTTTTAATTGCTTCTATTTATTTTGGTCTCTCCCAGTCTGGATCATAACGAATGCTGTTCAAAGACAGTAAATGGGTTAAACACAAAGTCCCTATTTAGTGACAGGGAATTGTCAGGGGTACTCAGCAGCTTGCCCTCAAGTCTGCCGACGCCTGCGCCTGAGAGGATCAGCTGGGCAGCTAGAGTCATGGATAATAGGGGTTATTTTAATTTTGTCTTTTTTTTTTTTTTTTTGTAGTACTGGGGACAGAACTCAGGGCTTCAAGCCCACTAAGAACCTCCACCGAGTCCCACCTGCAGCTCGGTCTGCTCTTTGTTCAGTGTCTGTCTACACCAGAATGAATGTTCCTTGAGAGCTGGCATGAGCCCTGTTTTGGTCATCACTACACCTCCAGGGACTCAGATGGCTTGGTGTGAAATAGCTGCCCAAGTTTTAAAAAGACAGAGCCAGGCATGGCAGTGTCTCCCTGTGATCTAGCAGCTGAGGCGGGAGGAGTGGGTTGGAGGGTAGTGACTGAAGCTAGCGTGGGCTACAGAGGGAGGGCCTTGTTTTAAGCCAGAGAAAGGAGCGGGGGAAACAGGCTAGCCTACCAGCACAGCCTATGCCCTGTAGCCAGCTAGGCAGAGGCAGGGTGGAAAATGGAAACAATGAAACACAGTCTCCCTGAGATACGCAGAGATGGGTTACAGGTGTGGCTGTAACTGAGGCGGTAAAACAAGGGTCAGCCAGCGAGGGGAGACTGCAGGGCTGAGCCATGAGATCCAGAGACACAAGGATGAAGGACAGGGCATAGTGGGAGGGAGGGCACAAAGAAGACAGTTGCAAAGAGAAGATAAAAGAAACATAGGCTGACTGTGAGTTCGAGGCCAGCCTGGTCTACAAGAGCTAGTTCCAGGATAGGCTCCAAAGCTACAGAGAAACCCTGTCTCAAAAAAAAAAAAAAAAAAAAAAAAAAAACAAAAAAACAA